CAGGGTTAGTTTACATTTTTTTATTGTTTCTTTATTTATTTATAAAAAAAATTTAAAGTGAAAAAAAATCAGTTTATTTTTTTCTTAATAAAACATACAAAAAAAGTCCAACAACAAACTCAAGAGATGCTTCAAAATTAATTTACAAAAATAAATTTGGAATTTGCTTTACTCTCTCATCTCGCCATCTTCTTCCTCCTCTTCTACTCCACGTATATACAATACATTATTACACCTTATTAGAACTTCTCCAAGATGTCCAGACAATGCTCCATCAATATATTCTTCTGTATTGGCGAGCTGCATGTTCATGTAGCCATCCACATAGACCAGGTATCCCTTGTATTCCATACCCCACTTCAGTTTCACCATTACTGGCTTACCAGTAAGGCCATTAAGGAATAGTTTTGGGTTTAATGGCAAACTCATTATGCCGGTGAAGCTGCCGCTGATCTACAGACCAGTGAAGCGTAGAAAAAATTCCCCGCGGAATGCTCCGAGAACACACCGCCAGAGAGAGCAGGAAATGGCAAGTTTCTTTATTTATTTTGTTACTTTTTTATCCCTTTTTTTTTTTACTTTGTTACATTTTTAGTTATCTTATTTTTTACTTTTTTTTAATAATTGTTTTTATCTTATTGTTTATTTTTTATAATTATTTTCTTATGCTTTACTAATTTGTTTCTTATTATTTTTTACTTTTTAATCACCTTTTTATTTAATTATTTTTTTATTTTTATTTCTTTAATAATTTTTTTATACATTTTTTTTCACTTAACTTTATTGCTATCACAAAGGAGATAACAATCCCCTGTGTGATAGCAATTGGAGGTGACATGTTCTCTTTTTTGACCCTGTCACCTCCAATACAGGAATTCTAGCACAGCACTGTGCTGGCAGTCCTGTGACAGCTGAGAGGGAAGACTGCTCTCCCCTCTCACTGTATACACGGAGCCGCAGGGTTACTTTTAACCCTGCCGCTCTGCTCCCTGCATCGGCGGCAGGGACTCGGGACAGGAAAGAGACTCGGCGGCAGGGGGAGGACGGAGGACGGAGCCAGCGAGGAGAGAGGTAGGTGTGGGGGGAGGGGAGGACAGGCAGGCTGCAAACTTATTACAAGTGATCTCGGCGACATCGGCGACATTCACACCGCTGCCGCCCTCTGCGCCCTGCTGCCCCGAGGCCGGGCCTTGGTGGCCTTGTGGGAAACCGGGCCTGGTTATATACCAGTTAAAGAGCTGGCGAAAAGGAGTCTACAGCTTAGAAACATCTACTGTTTGTTTAAATAATAGGACTGACAGGGTGACAAGATGTTGCTCTTCTCATAAAGAAGCTCAGATTTTCACTGAGATTGTTGTGAACTTTGAAGACAAACTTCTCCAGGATGCCTATAACTAGAGAGGTAAATAGGGGTTTGTTTTAAAATGATTTTACTGCTTGTTCAGAATATGCTTTAGTTTGCATAGTCTGGGCACAAGTTCACTTTAACATATGGTGAAAGAGCTTTAAACAAGCCACCTCTGACCTCTCCTGTCTGTAATGTAAGGTAATTAATTCTCAAGGATCCTTTAACTGCCTCCGGGCCGGCCGTAGTAAAAAAACGGCCGGCCAGGAGCTCTCTAGATCTGAGCGGGCGTCGCAATTTAAAAACGGCCAGCGATGCATGCACATAAAAAAGAATTAAAAAAAAAAAAATTTTTAAGTCCCCACCCATACATACACGCACGCATACATGCGTCGGGGGCGCATACGTGCAAAAAAGACGATTGCGCCCATTACGCCGCACATGTTACATATCGCCGCGAACGTCGCAGTGAGAGCAATAAGTCTAGGGCCATCAATCACTGATAACACTAAACTGATGAGCGGTAAAAACGTTTAAAGCTTCGTTTTCTGCGATGTCGCGGGTGTGCGCAATTTTAAAGCTTGACATGTTTGGTGTCTATTTAACCGACGTGACCCGATCTTTTATATTTGACCAAAAAACTGGGTAATAATAAATGTTTCCTAACATAATGTTAAAGAAATACGTATTTTTCCCCAAAATTTTCAGTAATTTTTCCTAATTATAATAAAAAATAAAACCCCCCAGTGGTGATTAAATACCACCAAAATAAAGCTCTATCTGTCCCCAAAAAATGGTGTAAAATTCATTTCAGTACAGCGTTGCATGACGGAATAAACGTCAGTCAAAGTATCGCAGCGCTGAATACTGAAAAATGGCCTGGCCAGGAAGGGGGTCTAAACACCTGGTCTTGAAGTGGTTAAAGATCACTACAACTATTCTAAAGTTGGGGTTCAGTCAGTTTGTAACAGCTTAGAAAAACCTGTTGTGTGTTTATGTTAGAGGCAGACTGCTAAGATTCTGTTGTAATAGAAAGTAAAAAAAGAGTGTGACACCTTTCACTGTCCAGCAGTGTAACCAGAAGTGGGGGATTAAAATTTCCATTGTTTTGAGTGGTATAGGGAAAGACTCCACCAGAGGTTGGGAAACATTTGTTGAAATTAGGATTTTCCATGCTAGAATAGACACCTGGATAGGAGGCGGTAGAGTAAGCGGAAAAGCATGTTCCCATTTACAGGACAATAGATAACAATAAAGGTCTTTACTAGGAACTAGAACGCGTTCAAGTTGGTTTGTCTTTGGGAGAGATAAACCAACTGCTAAGATGTGATAATATAGCAGCTAAATAGTAATCTCTAAACTCAATTTAGCCTATACCTCCTGCATTTATATGTTCAATTAAAACTGAGTGAGAGCATCTAACTCTTCTATGCCGCCAAATAAAATCTTTAAGGCAGGATTGAAGGGAGCGAAAATACCAAGAAGGAATAATAATTGGTAGGGTTCTAAAAAGGTACAAAAGTTGGGATAGTAGTAGCATTTTAAACATGGCCAGTCTAGCTCACCATGACAGGGTATGTTTACCCAGCTCCTGTAAATAACTTTTAATTTTGTCCAAAAAAGGAAGATAGTTGTGGGAAAATAAATTAGATTGGGTGTTAGTAAGGACAATCCCGAAGTAATACATTCCAGAAGAGGACCACTCATAGGAAAATTGAGATTGAAGAGTTTCTCTGGTTTCAGTCCCAAGTGCTAGGTCTAAGATTTGGGATTTAGTGACATTTACTTTGTACTAAGACACATGAGCAAACATTTGAATAACATGGGAAACTTCAGCCAGAGAAGACAGCGGATTCGTAAGCATGAGAAGGACATCATCAGTGAATAGCTTAATCTTATGAGCCTAATGATCTATAGTAAATCCTGAAACATAAGCATTGGATCGTATCACCTCAGCAAAGGGTTCTATGGATAAATTAAATATCAAGGGCAATAAGGGACAGCCGTGACAAGTTCGATTAGAGGGGAGGGGAAAGAATAGAGAGCAGTAATAGCTGAGAAAGTAGGGCCTATAAAGCCAAATTTGACCAAAACCTGACTTGAAGTAGTTCCAGTGAACTTGGTCAAACACACTCTCTGCATCCAAGGTCAGAAGCAGAGAAGGCGTTTTAACCCCAGCATAATGTATTACATTGATTACTCTTCTGGTGGCGTCTGGGGCTTCCCAACCCTTGGTAAAGCCTGTATAGTCTGGGTAAATTAGAGTTGGAATAATGTCGGCAAGCTGACATCATTTTTCAGTAAGGAGATAGCGTGAAAGTTTGGAGGAGAATCCAGCCTTCCGTGGTTTAGAAATAGTTACAATCAAAGCTTTAAGCATCTCTAGGGGAGAATATGGAGAATCAGCAGCATTGTCGAATACCTTCAGCAAGTGAGGACCAAGAATATTGTGAATAGTTTGATAATATTCATTTGAAAATCCATCAGGACCAGGAGATTTGTTGGATGGCATGGACCTAATAGTATGAATAAGTTCAGATATTGTAAATGGAGCATTTAAATGGAAGCTCACTGCAGACCATCGCTCTCTCCCATTATCCTCTCTGAAGCCAGCTTAATAACACACCTCAGCAACTTACAACCAAGTTTTTCACCTCTGCAAACAGATACACTATTTAGCTAGCCAGCATCCCATCTGAAGCTCACTGCAGACCATCGCTCTCTCCAATTATCCTCTCTGAAGCCAGCCTAATAACACACCTCAGCAACTTACAACCAAGGTGATTGGAATATTTTCTTACAATCATCTAGCTCATCATACTGAATACTTACAAACTTTACTCATGCAACCCAACTATCTGTAATGTCATTGTATTATTTGTATGCCCTTTCTAGTTGTTATTTAAGTCTGCGTATGTGTGATGTTTTAAGTGATAGCTAATTTAGATGCCTGCTTCATGTATGTCAAACCTTACATTTTTGTTCCAGTTTATTACCCTCTACCCCCTTATCTGTACTTCGAGTAACCCCCTGTCTTTCTCTTTTCTGTTAAGTTTTTCACCTCTGCAAACAGATACACTATTTAGCTAGCCAGCATCCCATCTGAAGCTCACTGCAAACCATAGCTCCCACTCTCCCTCCCCTCAAACCACCCACCCCATGGCGCAGTTTACCTTTTAAGGTGCCCATACACTGTACGATTATCGTACGATAATCGTACGATAATCGTGGGAAATCCCGCGATCGTACGATAATCGCAAAGTGTATGGAAGGCATGCGACTGTTTCTACTGTACGATCACACGTCTTCCCTTAAACAAGCAGGCTGCTTGTTCGACAACTGCCGAACGGGCTGGTGTGCGCACGCGCACACTGCCTGTTCAGCATTGCAGTCACCGGAAAGCCCGCCCCTCAACGGGTAGGATTGCGATGATCGCAAGTACGATATGCCTGTCCATGATGGGCAGATCGTACGTTTTTTTAATTACTTTACAACCCTCGCAAGACAAAAGTCTTGCGAGGGTTGTAAAGCGTATGGCCAGCTTTATATAGATACAGGTGAAACTCAAAAAATTAGAATATCGTGCAAAAGTTCATTTATTTCACTAATGCAACTTAGCCGTCTACCAGGAGATTTTGGAGCACTTCATGCTTCCGCAGACAAGCTCTATGGGGATGCTGACTTCATTTTCCAGCAGGACTTGGCACCTGCCCACACTGCCAAAAAATTTCTGAGATTGTGGATCTGGGATTTCATGAGCTGTAAGCCATAATCATCACAATTATGACAGATCACGGCTTGAACTATCTTGCTTTGCATGTAATGAGTCTATCTCATATATTAGTTTCACCTTTTAAGTTGCATTAGTGAAATAAATGAACTTTTGCACGATATTCTAATTTTTCGAGTTTCACCTGTATATCAGCACTTGACTTAAGTACAATTCAGGTGGCCAGCAGGTGTTACTCATCGACCACTCTCACAGATCTCAATACTATCCCACTTTAACCTCTTCCCTACCTCTTTCCTTTAATTGTTGAACCCCTTCCATACCTACTACTCCTCATTCACTTTACTGCCCCATAATTCCTCTGCACTGCATGCGCTCCCTACCATTGCTTCTCACAATTGTGGCTTCTCTTCTTAAACTGTATTTCCTTTACCCCCCCCCCCCCACACA